TTTGTGAACACTCTGTATAAATGCCGGCTGTCTTTTTCAGCTCAATTGTGTTTTTTGAAGAATTGAATTATCAGCATGGAATAAACCCATATACCCATACTCTCAAATATCAGTTTAATATACTACTTTCGAATAAATATTCCGGTTACAGTTAAAGCGTAAGTATTGTGTCGAGACATTTCTTGCCGTTGAAGTGGCTATAGAAGGAAAATGCCACCATGCGTCCAGCAGTGTCAAATTTCCTAATATCCCATTGAAATGTGCATTAATTATCTAACATGATCATTAAGCTTGGCCTCGAGGTTTCTCCCCGTCCTGTTGCTTCATTCCAACCAAAATTAATGTGAAATAAGGAAAAGAATGTGGGCATTATTTTATTCATCACAGAGTAACAACTTTGCTACAGGACCTACTGGGCGAAGCAGAACTTGGTTGATCCATTTGCTTATCGGTCTCTTCCTCATGTGACCAGGACAGACGGCCTAGCGTTCCATATCCTCCTGGTGGAATTCTCTGGCATAAGGGTTGATGTTCGTGTGCAAGGGGGGGCGCCGAGCTATTGGATTCTCTGGGAGACGAAGGTCGCCTGTTGGTCGGGGTGTTGCCTTGCCAACCTTCGCCTCGTGCAGTCGATGCATCTCGTCCCCGATGCCAGAGCGGACTTCCTGCCGCACTATGATTCTAAGGTCTGCCTCTGACATATATAGTACCACTGGAGAAACAGCCACTTGAGGGACCAACTCAGCCCTCCCAACTGGATAGGGGTGGCTTCTCCTTCTCGTTCTAAACAGACAACAGACAACTTAAGCAAAATATCTCTAGGTTTTTGAGGTCAAATGGGGAAGTAAAGTCAAATGCAGCAAGGAAATTCAAAAGTGACCTAAAGAAAGTCAAATTTGTCGCTGCCATAGGTGTCGTTTTAGGGGAAAGCATGTTCGGCGTAAGAAAAGTCAAATGCACACAAGGTATACCTTCCTCATGTTATGGAGAATACCTTCTCGTTGCACTTTCACATGTATGATAGACAAAGGTAAACCGAAGCACTGGATTGCTGTGGAAGATGAATACGGTGCACGTGGTCGTGCATGGATGTCCCTTTCATATTCGGAGGCAAGCAGTTATAGACCTGATGAATTCAATGAGACGAGTAATTTTGGACAGGCTCTTCGTTGCCCAAAGATTAGCCTAGGCGTCACTTAGAAACAGGAGTACCATGTATAGTAATTGTTGGATACTAAACGTTTGGAACCTTTCTTAGTATGAAGGTAGTAGGAAAAATAGCATGGCACTGTTTTTCTTATGAAATGAAGAAGAAGGGGCATTAGATGTTTGGTTCCTAAATCCAGTAAAATGCTTGCATTCGTGTCGAGTTTAGTTTACGAGTTGGGGAACTATTCTAGACACTCTTGACATGAAGACATTTTCGAAAAGAGGCATAGGTAGGCAGGCAGACCGGGAGATCTTGACAGGTTACTTTGGTACAGGGGGATATTGCCATACTGTCATTACTTGCCAGAGCTGGGAATATACCAATTCTGGGAGTGTGTTATTCTGTACAGATTTAATTGATTCAAATCCCCATTAGGTCACACTGATGAGTTAGACTCTTATCCAGTTGTATGGGCACTGTAACACAACCCTGTTGTATCAGAGTTCTTGTAGGAATGGGGGACGAGCTTGTAAGCAAGTGTACAGAATTAATGTTTGCCCTCAAACTGGTTTATCAGATTTTCTGACTCTTGCCCACAGACCAACAGGGCCATGAAGATAGCATCATCCAGACCATCCTGTGCATTCAGAGGTATGTTGGTAAAGGTCTGGTAATCTGTATATGGTATTGATACTTTTGGAAATTAACAGACCAAGTTCACACCTTTTATATGGTCTGAATTTAATAGACACCAGAAAGATCAGAGGAAAATAATTTGAGTTTCTACAGGTCAAATATGGCAAGTGTAATGCTAGACCATATCCTCATGACCATGACCGAACTCCTTCATAATATAAGAATTCAGGGATTCCATTAATTGAGGACTCTTGTATCTGGGATAAGAAATGAGTGTCCTACTCTCAGAAACAAAGGATAAAGGGTAAGAGGCTGATGATAAGCTGCAGTATATGCATGTCATTACTGAGGTGACTTGCAAAGGTTGCACCCTTGTTGAAGAAGAGACTAAGCTCAAGGAAGGGCCATAGCATCAGGTAATATTATCATGAAAGTTCTATTTCCTGGTTCATCCAGGAACACTCATGTTGATTACACAGACATCAGTGAGACAGATCAAACTGGAGCATAATCCAGTGTTGAATGATCTGAGGTGGAAAATGTTCAGCCATTCATTGTCAATACCAACCATCTCATCTTGATGGGGTAATGGTCAGAACAGGCCCTTTCAGTGTTCTTGACTCTGGGATGCAATCGGGTTTAGCAGGTTGAATGCTGACTTGTGTCCAGTCAACCAGAGCAAGAACATAGTTTAAGCAGCTTACATTTTGGATTTCATTCATTAGATCAATCACAGTTTGATCGGAAACTGTAACTTGCAGTAACCAGCAATTCGCTAAGGTAACGGTCATTTACTTAGGAGTGACTTCTTGTGTAACCAAGTCCTATCGGATAGACATCCAGTACAACCCTAGGCGTGATATTAGAACAAAGCCTTTACTTATCCAATAGACCTGCTAGGTAAGCCTACGTCACCTGTCTCTCATCAGGGCAATTCATTTTTGCCTGGTTCATATGTTCGTCTTGCATTTCGTGCAGGTCTTTTTCATGCCTCCGAAGTGAGTCCATGTCACGTCACAAAACGTACATTTCACATTCTCGACACCCGCGGATTTGCGACCAGTCCGAAGGAGGGCAGGAACATTAGCTTCAGGTTGGACTGTTTTCACATGTCTCCTGAGAATCCAGTTTGCTGTAAATTTCTTCTTGCACGAATGACACTCCATGTCTAGGCAGAAGAGGCGAACTGAACAAACTGAAGCACTCTAGGAAGTGAAGAGAATGGCTGACGCCATGATGGTTGAGTGACGTAGCCCCGACTCGATTGTGATTGGTCGGTTGTAAAAGCCGGCCTGTGGTCGCGATACGCTTGTGTAGCCACTGCGAGAAAGCTACAACAGTAAATATGGCTGTTCCACGCCATGTTAACAACATTAGTCTTACCATCTGAGAATGCTTGACTACCCGTGCCTAGGGGACTAGTAGTGGAAGCAGAATTTTGACGATTTCAAAGTGCCGAGATTACCCCCAGTGTCGACATTCGCAGCACCTACCCTATATCAGGTGGGACATGTCTTACAGACAAGGATCTCTACAGCGCGTCCGGTCGCAGGCACGATGGGGTCTGGTCACTCCGGATCCGTCGAAGGGCTGCGTCGTCCACACTTCAACGACCGTAGGGTTTGAAGGCAAGGGGAATGAAGTCTTGACATGAGATCAATTTCGATGCGAGATCAAGGTCGTCGTAAGATCACGGGCTGTGTAACTTCGAATTCGTTGAACGATCAAGTGGAGTGGCGGGAATATGGATGTTCTCGCCCCGGACCCGAGGTCCCAAATTATCGTCCGTAAAGTTGGGAACCCCATCATTCCTGCACCTCCTTATCTTGGAGGGAGTACCGGATGTGCAAGGTTGGCATCTGATTCGTATTTAGGGTGGTCGCTCTATACACTGTTGATGGGCTGAATAATTTTCTCTCTACATAATTCTATACAATGCAATCTCTTCAACGGGGTCAGGGTCACGCGGCACTAGCGCCATCTTTCGCCCGATTTGCAGATTTTTGGAGGCGGCGCTTACTTGTGTGGTTCCTGTCACAATACCACGTGAATATTTTATTTTATTTGTGTGGCCTAAGTGCCGATTCTATATTAACTTATCAAATTCCCGGTAATTATGAAATATAACTGCGCGCCCGAATTTGGTATACTCAATGCAATACATATGTTCCTCGAGGTCTTTAGTACGATTTGTGACAGTTCGAAAATTCCAAACCCTAGAATTTGCACAAGAAATGAACATTTACTCCGTGTTTTCATCAATAATATTGTTTCGTCTCGCATATATTAGTGTTACCTGGTCTTGAAAGCAGGAAAGCGAATTTGCCGTCTCCGCTTCATCTCGCTGAAGAACGTGATCAAATATAGGGTCAATATTCAGACTAACGTTCCGTCAGCTTTTTTGGGTTTTCACTAAATCCAAGTGCGAAAGTCAAGCGATTTTGGCCTTCGACACCGAACCAATGCTAAGACTGTCTCCAGGACATAACGGGATGAGGAATTTAAGCATACCAAAACTAAATTAGCCTAACTCTCACTGGTCCTCCATTTTGACGAATGGTTGAAAATATCTTTTTCAAGGGTTGCTTGCCATTTGAAAAGATGCATCCAGAATTTCCCTGTAGTGAAATACTACTGGGGAAGAGACAAATATTGATTTAAGAAAAGAACACAGGTTCGAAAATCGCCATACTTATAAGATCGCACAATTAGTGAAGTGTCACAAATAGTATTAAAACCCTCAAATAACAAAAAAAAACCTGTAAAATACTGAACCTGCGGGCGACGTTATAATATACTAATACTCAAATTTCCTCATGAATTTCATGCATTACTAAATTCACTTTTTGAGCGCATGGATATTGCAACTTCCTGTATTTGCATATTAGTTTGTCACTAAATTAACATTTTGCGGCAGTATATTGATAACACACCATTACGGGAGATATCTGGATTGCGCCGGCGACAACTTTATCTCCCGCGTTCCATCGGCTGGAACGCGTATCTCGGAGGCACTCTCCAACTCTCCGCTGTGTTTCGTTCCTTTCGTCTGGGAGGCAGTTTCCACAGTGTTTTTTCGCATCGGGGGTTGGGAAGACGGTAAATTCGGGTAAGTTGGTTGCTTTTACATGTGTCCGTCTCTCTCAGTACGACGAGTAGAATGCATGCTATGCTGGGCAGCATTGTGAAGAGAAAGGCTGCATTTGAGTCTCACATGTCTCGTAAGAGCCTGTTTTTTTTCTGAGTTCACAGCCGAATTTTTTTCTCACTTTTCCGAGTTTTTTTTCTATATTTCATGAGAGTAGAATATATTATTTTGGTTTCAGTTGTCATGTTGTGTGTCCTGGGAGGTAGCGATAATTGTTTTGATTGCCCAAACGATAATACGATTGTGTGGAATCTCACAATACTTCCTTGTGGAAAACGTTGAAAGAATTTCGTTAATTTTTGGGGCTGAGATACTTTTCCCAATACAAGTTTTAAAGATCGCCCGTTGATTTTAAAGATGGAGCCAGACTGAAGACTGATTTTGACAGGGAAAGCGATGAATGAAGCCGAGCTGGCTGGCGCCCAGGCGGGGAAACGGAAGATCGTGATCCAGAAGGATTTCAATGATCACACGGGGCTTGCAGCCGACGTTTCCGATTATTTCAGCACGGGCCCCACCTGGTGCGACGTCATCCTGGTCATCCAAGATGCGAAATTCTACTCGTGCAAGGGGATCCTCGCCGCCGTCTCCCCCTACTTCCGAAGGATGTTTTCATCGTGCGTCGAAAAGCCTGTGAAAAGGGAGATCGAGTTGGAGGGCTTCACGAAGGAGGGCTTCAAGCCGGTCTGGGAGTACATCCACGGAACGAAGGTGGAATTAGAAGGACGAGATGGAGTGCTGGCCGCCCTCCAGGATGCACATTTGCTTGGACTCAACCGCCTATGTGACAAAATGGGCAAAGCATTGGCAGGTTTTCTCACACCGGAAAATGCATTCAATTCCCTTGGCATTGCTGAGAAATACGGCTGCAAGGACTTGCAAGAAGCTGCAATCGGACTCATTTCGGTCCGGTTCAGTCAGGTGGTGCACACGGCGGACTTCCTGAGGGTCTCCTTTGAAACACTGGCTTTGTTCTTGGATAAAGATGAGCTGGAAGTCTCCTCCGAAAAGGAAGTCTATGAAGCTGCGAAGAAGTGGGTGGATCATGATACAAATCGAAAGGATCATCTTCCGGATTTGCTAGAAAAAATTCGTCTTCCCCTTCTGTCTCATGAGTATCTGAAATCGGTGATAGTCAAGGATCCTGACGTTTCTGGAAGTCCAAGATGTCTAAATCTCTGCATGGACGCAACTAACTATCATTTCCCGGAGCTCCGACATACTGTTCTTAAGGAGAAATACAGGCATCGCGGGTTCCTCTCAAGCAAGATATGGTGCCTAGGACAGAAGAATGACGAATGGAAGGTGTACGGCATTGATAGGAACGATTTCAGCAAGAATGAGGTAACCCTCTATCCGCACAAAGCAGATGGGCAATTCATGCGGGCTTTTGTTGGTATAGACAAGAAACTGTACCTAATGGGAGGTGGTGACATGAGAGTGTTCGATTTGGGCAATCATGAATGGTTCGAAGGGCCAAAGCCTCCGGAACACATTCGATGGCCGGCGACTGCAGTTGCACCAAAGTCAATGTTCGTCTGTGGATATTTTAACCTGCAAAATATGCCGCAGGAGTGGGTGTTTCAGTTTGATGTGGGGTCGGGCAGTTGGGTTCGTTTGAAGGACATGAGGTATGCTCGGTATGGCGCCGGAGCATGCTATCAGGACTCTTGCCTCCACGTCCTCGGAGGATATTCTCAGAATCGGTCTAACAAGTACGAACGTCTCGATCTCCGAGCGTCCACATGGGAGGAGTTGGCTGACCTCCCCCGAGGCACGGGGCTTCCTGCTGTTGCGTGTTATGAAGGAGATGTTATATATTCGGGTGGTGACGGCCAGAAGAAGGTATACTGCTATGATGTACGACAGAACAAGTGGCAGGAATGGCCTCACATGGTGGAAGGAAGACAGTGGCACGGCCTCATACCTTTGGACGGCAATATATATGCTATTGGTGGGATGCAGAATCCATCTATTGAAGTTTTCAAGGGTAAACAATGGGAAGTTGTGAAAAGATTTCATCTGCAAACGTGTGAGTTAGCCTGTCGAATGATTCTTTGATGTCGATTTCATTGCATGCGTATGGTTGTCTTCGACACCATTTGAAGCTTTATGGGCTTCTTGTAATGAATTTCCAGTGTTTAAGAACAATCATGCTAGATGGTCGGAAAATTCCCTCTTCTTGACCTGCTCCAGAAACGCAAAAGTCACAATGTACTGGAGTCATGTAATAGATTCTATTGCTTGAGTTGATGTTGTAGTGAAACTATGTCTACCATATCAGACGAGAGAGTAATTTCTGAAAATTGTTGGGTCTAAATAGCCTCATTGATTACAAAAGGGTTTCATGTTCGTGCCTAGTTTCATCACATTTCTGCCCCTGGTGGTGGATTCATAGTCTCGTTTTAATTAATTTATAGAAAAGCTAAATTCTAGTGTTATACAAAATGGAAACAAGGAAATAAAGAAATCGGGGAAAAACTAGACCAGGTGATACTCCTGAGTTTTGCGGAAAGGTGAGGCAGATGTCTGAGCAGACTACTTCGGATATATTGGACGGATTCCTTAATAACTAATTAGAGATATTTGACTTGTACATGATTGAGAGTTCCTGATAGAAGGGCAATTGATGCAGGGTAAGATATCAAGAGATTTCTTCAGGTTTATGATATCTTTAGTGTTCCCATTTATGTTCGATGCGTTTGACTCACGATGTCAACTCTGTCATGCAGGTGATGAACAATAAAAGGATGCTGCTTGTTCCAATTTGAAATATTAATTCATTTTCCTATACCCGATTACTGTAAATGATCGATTGCAATCCGTGAGGAATCGTCTTTGGCCATAGACGGCATATGATTGCATTGAATAGCTATTTTTCGCGAAGAGAACGCTTTCCCTATTGCAATAAACACATTCAAGACGGGAAAAAGAAATTATAGTTACCAATATTGTAATGGATATGGTAGACTTGCTTCAGGATCCTCCAGAACATCGTTTGTATTTTGATGATTATTTTCCAAGCCAGGACTTGCTTGTCGGAGGGGGGACTTTCCATCGTCAGGCAATGCCGATTCAAAACCTTCGTCACACACTTGTCAGCAGCTCTCCAAATGCCACCCAACACCTCCACTTCATCCTGGGCAGGAGAATAGCACTTTGTCAAAGCGGAGTCCCTCTCTTTCGATTGAGTGAATCTCCTCACCGCCTCCTGTTCGGCTGCATGCATTCCAACTACCCTCAGGGTATCATCGGGAATGTCATCCCAGTTGCTGACAAAGTTGGCCTTACACGGTCTCAGGATGATGTCAAAGGTTTTCTTGCTATCCTCTTCTGACCTGTCCACTTTCCTGCGGAGTGTGATGATTCCCTGCAGGTCATCTTCTGATAGTCTGCTGAAGACTATCAGATTCCACATGAATTTCATCGCTGCTGTGCCCAGTACATGACATTCTTTCGTTCCTCCTGACCAGAAGCATACTTGACCAGGTAAGACATCTGGAATCGCCTGTCACATCGCTAGATATTCGTGAAACTACGTGAGGCAACGAACAACAACGGAACTGTCGGGCAGAAGTGTTCTTCTTTGGAAGTAGGATAGTGCCATCGACCCCACGCAGACAAGTTGCTGGTCGCCAAATCCCCTCATCAAGGTCAAAGGCTGCCAGTCCCAGCAATTTCATTCGTTAAAGCACATCACTCTCAAATCGCGGATCACACACTTCCTGCCAGTACTGGCCACTGTGCGGATGTCGGGGAACACGACACATGACCTCTCCTGCCGCATTCCTCTTCTTCTTGCACCGGAGCTGAGCTCCGTCACAGGCATGCGTCTGAACTGCCTGTAAGAAGTCATGCAAGCTGCAGAACTCCTGCCAACTGCTGACGAGTCCCCGGCGAAGCAGGCTTTCAAAGTCTGTCCCATACTCACTAAGAAAGAAGCTCACTGAACGACAACAGATACGTTGAAGGAGTTCCTCGTCACTGTCCCCTGGGTGCAATGTGACACCCCCGTGGACGTGGGGGTTGTTGTCATGTGAACCAGGGTCTTGAAACTCCCAACGCCACCACAAACGCCTCACGTGACCAAGAGGCCGCTCTGGTGACTTTTCGATGTAGACCATGAAATATCCCATGTTCCGTTCCCACATACGACAAAACAGGACTTCATTGGATTCCACCGCTGCCTGCGAACACACAAACCCCACATCCATGATCCATCCGAACAACATACACACAAATCCATTTCAGTACTTCTCTCACCATCCCCCACCCTACCTTCTCATTATTTCATCTTTCACATTAATTCCTCCAGAAATTCCCCGAAAAGAACTGCTAACAAACTTGACCAAATATTGCCACCTCACCCAATGCTACGGAACACAGCCCACATGACTAACTACAACCAACATGTTGGGGGGAACCTTCACAAGACCAATGTCACTGCCTTTGTGTAAAGGCTATGCAGAGCACTTCAAAAAGGGAATGAAATCCTACCGTGAACAGTTCCATATCACCTCCACTGAATTCTTCCAATGCAGCATGAAGAGGAGCCACTCCAAATGTCTCCCTGTCATTACTAGTGAACGTGAAGAAGTAGTCCCATGGTCCACGGCGAAGCAGAGCTGCCAGTTCGTGAACGCGTCGACGAGCATCAGTCTCTTCAAAGGGGAATGCATTATCTTCTGGGTACAGAAACGGCACACTGCAGCCAGACGGGCGTGCAGTTATCTGCTGGAGAAACGTATGCACTGCAACAGGAGTGGATCCACCATGACCACATCGGCTCAAAATATTCAACGGTCCATTGAGAAGGAATTTCCCAGATATTTCTTTCTTTCCATGCAAGGATTGATGCACTGCAAGCACCCACTGTCACTCCGCAGGAAGTTCGAATCACTGGACTCGTTGCCACAGGTGCCATTCCCCAGAGGATAACAACGTACCACTCTGCATCTCGAGCATCTTCCCCGCTGCTGCAATTCCCATTGGCATCCAAGACCCCTTCATGATTCGAGTTACTCGTCTCACCCTGAGGCAAAACCACACCTTCTCCCCTGATATCATCTGAATCTTGCATCCCAGAGTAAAAGCACAATGAAGGATCACCTACTTGACTGTGTCATTCGCGGCATTATTGGGGAATGATGTGCAGCTCCCTCTCCCAACAGCACCTTCACTGTCCTCCATGCCAGAGTACAGGGAGGAAGCTGACCTCACGCACGACACATACCTCACACGACTCATGCTACCCATCATAACTTCCTTCCCATGAGAATAGCAGAGTCCTGCCGCACACTGCACCAAAGATGACTGTTGAGGGCACCTCCAGACAATGCACTTTCGACATGAAATGGTATCATCACCACCACCCCCAGTCCCATCCTCGTCCACGCACGGCCAGCAGCACACGTTCAAGGTTCCACGAACCTCACGGATCAAGGGAACATTGTGTTTGAGGCAAACCACATACATCTGTCCTCCAATGAAGTCCAGGTATTCATACTTGAGCTCTTCGAATCCAATTCCTGCTGCTCGGCCATACACACAAACCTTCCAGGACCGCTGGAAAGTGTCCAGAGCACTTCTCCCTTCGGTCACTCCAAATCGCACTGGATGTTCCACAGCAACACACATCCACCAGCAACTCCATTGTCCTCCCCACCTCATCAAACCTTTCCCGATCCAGGTGCCCACCCCCACACGGAACTCCAGAAGCATTCGGAGCTCATACGGCTCCTGGGAGATTTCCAAGACTACGGGGGAGGGATATTTCCTCCCTGCATTTACATCACGTACTGATGCAGGATGCTCTGGGATGAGTAGCACCTACGTCTTCAATCCATTCATGGTAATGCCATGCTCACAGGCTACTTGCAAGATGCTCTCCTCGGTTACAGCCCAACATCTGTGCTCCATGCAAAAGACACCAGAGAAAACACCGAAACAGTTTGCAACCCATTCCCATACCAGTTCTCCACCACCGACAACACCAATGTCTTCACCATCCTGTGCACCTGTGTGGAAAAGTCAAGAGCAGCAATTCAGAGGAATTATACAAATACAGGTCCACCAACTGTTCAAAAACACAGCAACATTGCAGACAGCCCTCCCATCGAAAGCCTTTGTTCAAATCGTTCAAATCTGACCACCAATGAACATGCTTCTATTTCCCACAGACATTTCCTCACCAATTCGCCCAGTTGTCACAAGGAATTGCACTCATCATTCAATTGATATTTTCTGGTAAAATGCCACTGGAAAGGCCAGACATCCACTCCAATATCAGAAACTCAGGCTTCTTGGAGAAGGGCATAGCTAGCATTGATCCTCGTCCTTCATAACCAGTACAATGAGCAAATGTGAACGCAAATAGCATCAACTGCAGTCCAACTGCTACGAAGAAGAATCTTCACCTTGCCACTCCAGCAGCTTCTGCTCGATGGCGCTGACGGAAACCGCCTGCTGCCTCGAGGCCTTACGAATCCATTCTGCCAAATCAGTTTCAAAACCCAAGATCAAGAGTGTGTGCAATCGACAGAACTTCTGGCCACCCCTTCTGCCTGCAACACACGTAGAAGTTGCAAAAATACAATCCATGAAGCAACGTGCCATGGTCTCTCAACGTGTAACAGCCAACGCAAATGACAGTCGGGATGGCTCATACTTGGAGTGTCTCATTCTTAGCCTGTAAGCATACTCCTCAGCTGAAACCTCACCTGGACACGGATGGGAGATCCTCAGCCCGGACTTCACTGATTTCTCCATTCCCTCCCTCCTTCTGGATGTCATCAGGCACTGGACATACACCACTGCCAACTGCACCTAGAATCCAAATGAAACGTCTCACCTCCACCACACACCACAATATGTCCCTACATCACAAATAACGTTCCATGTCCTGTATTGAGCAAACCTCATTAAACCAAATCCCCATTCCGAGCAGAAACCAATGCCAGCATTGGCCAAGACTCCCCATCATCATCACCCTCACAAGATCCCACACCACAAACGCCCTTTGAACTACGAGAAACTGAGTGACGCCATAACTGAGCTGCTACTTCCAGAGGAACACAAGTCCCCCCTTTGTGAGCCTTTTCCATCTACAACAAAGACACCCTACATCACACACACACACCTTCAAAACCACAACAGGCATATTTCTAGTGTAAAGAGCCCAGAGTTCTTTCCCATCACTCCCTTTCCTTCTTCTCACAAACCACAAGAATGACATGTTATGAAACCTGCCATAGCTTGTAACAGGAACAGGTACCAGTTAAATAATATTCATAACAGGAGAGAAAGGCACCATTTGAAAATATTCAATGGCACTGCAACCATAAGCAGCCATGTCCCACTCACCTCAGATGATGATATGTGTCGCCCTTGCACATGAAGATGAAGCATCACCACTGGGAAATCACTGTTGCTCTGTAGAAATGCCATATGTCTGCCCTTTGTCGCAGCACCAGTGTCTCAGCATCAGCTAGTAATTTGGATTTCAGATTCCACTGTGGCCACTCAGAGAAAAAGACGACAGTCCTTTGCATCCGCCAACTTCCCGGAACACACGAAAACTCTGTGTGTTAAAACTTGTTCGTCCGGGTCGAACGGTGTTCGGCACCATCACCACAACACCCAAACGGTCATCTTCCAATGGTGCCGCCCAATTCACTGCTGGATTGTGAGGAACATGCAGATACTTCAAGTTTGCTTTCCTGCGCTTCTCACAAAAAAGGACAGACAAGCCTTCATCCCAGTCTATTATCACTCCAGACATCACCTCCCACTTCAAGAATGACTGCACACAAGGCAAGTCAGGATGGAGCATAGCAATAACACCGTGTTTCACTCCAAAGCTGTTGAATCGTGGGAACAGCAGAGGCAGAACATGATGGAATGGCACTTTCGAACATCTCTCTAAGAATTCCAAGCATCCCAGCCCGCACCGCACCTGCAACAGAAACATGGCCATTTCCCTATGTGAACTCCATCATGCATATCACCTATATCTTTCAAACACTTGAACACGTGTGGCATTATTATTGGGTTGGAAAGAAAGTATTGCAGCACTTTCTAAAACTATAAAAATTTTCAAAGGAATGATGGGCGGGGCTTCGCATTTGTATATGCTGGAATATTCTCGAAGCTTCTGCCCTCGGGGTATATAAGGCGGCTTCTGCCATTAGTTGGCAGCCATGGCTCCGATCGAACAAGCAACTCTTCGCCCCATCGTCTACTACGAGTTCCTCCAAGGACACTCTGCGAGAGCCGCCGCGGACACTCTGCGCTGCATTCAAGGGCTACGTCGTCCACTATTCCACGGTGTCTCGATGGTTGAAACGCTTGGAATCTGGCGACACGACCTTCGGAGATCGACCACGCTCAGGACGTCCATCTACAGTCGATGACGAAGCCCTGCGGAACGCCCTCGACGCGAAGCCGAACGCCACCACTCGCGAATCGGCGACTACACTTGGAGTCACCCATATGGCCATCGGCAACCATCTGAACGACCTCGGCTATCGGAAGGTTTACTCGACATGGGTCCCTCATCGGCTATATAAGGCGGCTTCTGCCATTAGTTGGCAGCCATGGCTCCGATCGAACGAGCAACTCTTCGCCCCATCGTCTACTACGAGTTCCTCAAATGACACTCCGCCAGAGCCGCCGCGGACCACATCTGCGCTGCATTCAAGGGCAACGTCGTCCACCATTCCACGGTGTCTCGATGGTTCAAACGCTTGGAATCTGGCGACACGACCTTCGGCGATCGACCACGCTCAGGACGTCCACCTACAGTCGATGACGAAGCCCTGTGGAACGCCCTCGACGCGAAGCCGAACGCCTCCACTCGCGAATCGGCGAATACACTTGGAGTCACCCATATGACCATCGGCAACCATCTGAACGACCTCGGCTATCGGAAGGTTTACTCGACATGGGTCCCTCATCGGCTCAGCGACTCTGACAAAGCAAGCCGTGTCAGTGTCTGCGAATCACTGCTCCTTCGTCCGCACAGAAAGGACCTTCTGAAGGAAATCGTTACTGGAGATGAGAGCTGGGTCCTCTACGTCAACCATACTCGCAAGAGTCAGTGGCTTCCACGAGGAGAATTGCCGCCACATGAACCGAAACCAGGGTTCCACGAGAAGAAGGTTCTTCTCTGCTGTTGGTGGGATTCAGAAGGAATGTTGTACTATGAGCTCCTGCCAACCGATACCACCGTGACTGCCGTCGTCTACGCTGCTCAACTTCAGAAGTTGGCTGGCGTCATTCAAAAAGAGCGTCCCAAACGCGACAAAGTTCTCCTTCTGCATGACAACGCTCGTCCACATGTTGCGAAGATGACTCGCCAGATGATTTCGGAACTGGGCTGGGAAGTTTTACCCCCTCCAGCGTACTCTCCGGACTTGGCCCCTTCCGACTATCACTTGTTCTGGGCCCTCAAGAATCACCTGTGGGACAAGGCCTTCGACGATCAAGCACAGCTTGAAAATGATGTCGGCTGTTTCTTCGCTTCGCAATCGCCAGAGTTCTGGGCAAAGGGCATCGAGCAATTACCCGTGCGTTGGGAACATGTCATAGACAACAATGGTCATTACATTGTAGACTGAAATTGCATTTCAATGAAATTATAAAATTTTGAAAAATTTGCGCAGTGTTGCAAGACTTTCTTTCCAACCCAATATTTAAAAAAATGAAACCATGCTGTGAGAGCGTGTTGAAGGGGGGAGGGGGGGGATTAAGCTGCGCGCATGTGAACAATAACTAGCCAGATATTTGTTAGGCACATCCATTATATACCTACAGTAGTGCTTTAAGACTAATTTTTTTTCTTCGCTTGATTCAAGAATTCGTGAAATTTCTATTTAAAAGCTTATCACGATGGAGGCAGTCACTGCATCGTCACTCCACGCTTTTCGTGCACCATCTGCCATAGAAGTACCTACCCAGGAAGAATTCATCACAGGAAAATGTTCCTGCTTATGCTAAGGTACAGCTTTGAACG